TAAACAAACTTTGTGACTTCTACAACACAATAGGGGACAATGCTGTCCCCCAGTGCTGGGTCCTCAGCAGTGTGGCCTTCCCCAAGGGATGTCTGCTCCTGGCCTCTGCCATCCTGGGTGATCTCAAGTGTCCTCCCAGGTCTCCTTGTGTTTCTATGTTACAGTCCCCTGTAGATATCCATGTCCACGCTAATGATTCCATCTTAACTGGATCATCTGTAAAGACCTGATTTTCAAAGAAGGTGCTGGGGACAGGGCTCCAGAGTCATATGAGGGGACACTGTGCCATCCAGGGGCACTGGTGAGTGGTCCAGGCCACCCCGAGGAAGGCTCGGGAGAAGGCCTTGTTCCCAAGCTTGTTTCCAAGGAGCATGGACCACCCTCCTTGGAGGACTGTGGGTCCTTCTTCAGGCTGGTGTCAGAAGCTAGTCTCACAGGGTACTATTTATGGGCTCCTCACCAAGGTGTGGCTCAGTTTTCAAATGTTTATTAATTTTGTGAGTAAAAATTATACATGCAAAGTACTTAAAATCAATGAGTTTTTAAATTTCCCACATTTATTAAAACTGGGGAGATAGCTTAGTGGCATAAGAGCCTGCCTGGCAAGGACAAGGTCCAGAGTTCGATCCCTTGTACCAAAAAAAAAAAAATTATAATAAAAGATGTACAGTTGTGAATCTCACTCCCAACACACTTGTTTCTTCATTCTTGCCCTTTCTGCAGCAGCTCTGGAGTCCTCTTTCCTGAGTTCTTTAGCTGCGCTGTCCTGGTTGCCTCCAAGTCCTGGATGCATTCAAAATATTGACTTTTCATAGTCATTCTGACTTTGGGGAAAAACCAGAAGTCACGCAGTGCAACAGTGAACAAGGTGGCTGAGGACAATGTCTTGTTTTTATTTCATAGAGATTGCTGTAAGTGGTTGATCAACACAGGATGATCATAAAATATGAATGCTTTTATTTATTTATTTATTTATTTATTTATTTATATTTTAGGGAAGGGTCTATAGGGTGTTCAGGGTCTCACTACTAGATCAGACTCGTAGTGATCCGCCTGTTTACAGCCTCCTAAGAGCTGGGATTACAAGCACGCACCACCACACCCAGTCTCAATTGCTGTCTCAACATGCCTTGGGTGGATCCAGCACGGCAGGCCCAGGGATCAAACCCCCAATCCCTGTGCCTGCTTGCAGGCACTTTAATCTGCTGAGCTATTTGGTTGACCAAAAATGTGAATGTTTAAATGAAAAAGTGTATTACAGTGAGATACATTGCCACTAATCTCTCCTAACTACTCTCCTACACCATACATCTCACCATGTGCCATTTACTGAAATAAATTTTAATGTTGAAACATTCCTTCCCACTATCTGTGTATCCTCATGGGACAGCTACATCAACCTAGCTGTCATGTGAGTCACCATGTGCAATTTAGCATCCTTTTGCACTGAAAGCACTAACTCCACCTTCAGAATGCTCACGTCTGCAGCGTGCTGTGAATGCTACTGTGCCTTTGGGTTACTAAATGGAGTCTGGCACAGCAGGCCTGGGGATCGAATCCCCGGCCCCTCTGCCTGCTTGAAGGCACTTTAATCCACTGAGCTATTTAATCCTGGGCAGGGTGCTGAGCTTGGGAACGGAAGTGAGTGCAGTGCCTCTGGGCTCGAGGCCTCAGCAGGTAGGGGAGGAGCTGCTGCCAGGCTGCGGGCCTCAGGGACAAGGACATGGCGGGTCCCAGGACCCACTGCAGAGGAACCCAGGAGTTGGCCCTGAGCCACCTCCCCTCCTCTTCCCATTTGTCAAAACCCCAATAGAAGCTGTTTAGAAATACCCAATCCATTCCAGCCATAGAACAAGGATGTCCCTCATCCTCTCCAACTGCACCAGAACTGTCAGTCACACTCCTCTGCCCCTGTCTCTTCTCCCTCTGGCCCCTGGGAACCCCATTCTGGCTTTCACATCCTCTAGAGCAACTTGCTCATGTCCACGCATGCTATTCGCTTACCTCTCTTCATGTAACATCCTCAGCTGTCACTCCGATGGCTGGTGCACCAGGCTTTCCTTCTCTGTCCTGGCTGCATAGTATTCCATGGTGCATGTATGGAAGCCCCTTTGTCTGTCCACTCCTCACTGGGGGGACTCCTTCTGTGGGTGCACCCATTTCTTGGCTCCCATGACTGGTGCTGAGTGAATTAGGAGTGGTAGGGTTGCTTCCACATGCCAACTTCATTCCCGTTCTATTTTGTAATTTTTTTTTTCCTTTTTTTGAGGCAGCGTCTCGTTTTGTAGTGGCCTTGAATTCATGGTGATGCTCCTGCTTCAGCTACCTGAGGTACAGGTATGCACCATGACGCCTGGCATGGCTTTATCACTTTTGTCATAGACCCAGTGGGGTAACTGCCTTGTCCTGTGGCTCTTCTGTTTCCATAGTGCTCAGGAAGCTCTGCCCTGGTTCTCCCAGTGGCTGGATATATTTTCCTGCCCAGGTGGTACCTGGGAGCCTTAGGGTCATGGAGGCCCACGAAGGTGGGGCCCAGATGCTGGATTTTCAATGAGAAACCTGAGGCAGCTGTAAGATGCCACTACAAGGCCACCAAGCTGGAGATCAGACCAGCACACCGCTCTATTCTCCATCATGCCACTTTTCCTACAAGGTGTACTCCTCCACCCCTCAACAGCAATCTCACAGGCCACTGTCCCACAGCACAGTGGGCCACATAGCTGCCACTGAGGTTGCTCCAGTCACTCTACCCCAGAGGTGCAAAGGCAAAGCCAGAACCTTATAGACTCCCCCTCAAGGATTTTTCCCCAGGATCAGACCTGGACTTCTAAGGGAAAAATCACAGCTAGGAATGATGGTGCACACCTGTAATCCCAGCACCCTGGGAGGCCAGGCAGGAGGATGAAAGGTTTGAGTCCACCCTGGCAACTTGGCAAGCAATTTAATGACCCTATGTCTCAAAATAAAAAATATAAAAGGGCTAGTGATGTAGCTTAGTGTGAAGGCCCTGGGTTCGATCCCCAGTACTGCCTTATAAATCTATGCTCCAAGTTAAGAGATGCCGACCTTCCTGCCATGTTCCCTTTAGGCTTTCCTCAGCAGAACATCATAGACATGCTGCGGGCCTCATCCTGCCCTCCTTCTTCCAGATGTGCTCTACGCCGAGGTGGGTGGGTCCCCTACCTACCTGTGCTTGTGCCTTACAATACTTCGTTCCTGTTTGGCATTGATTGTGTGACACTGATTGACATATTTTGCAAATCTCCATCATAAATGACATCATGGTTTAAGAATGAGGTTTAATTTATTCTTTACTTTGTAAAATTTCTCATTGTTTATTCGTTTTAATAATCTCCAATTATATAAATATATAATGTGTATAACATGTATGTTCTATATGTGCAAAAGATGACCAAAATATACATTCTGCAGTTCAATTTTGAAAGAAACATTGACTCCCCGTTGAACCCTCAAGAATGCCCTTCATTCATCCCTTTTGCGCCCTCGCCCTCCCTTCACCCACACTCATCCATCACTCTGGCCACTTCCCGAAGCAGCTCTGCAGTCCTCTTTTCCAGTGTCTTGGGTAGTGTGATGAAAAGCACAGTGAACGCGGCCACCAAGTTCCATCCAGTGGAAAGGCAGCTCCTACTAACACGACGCTGTGTCCCCACTGAACTGCCCCCGTGTCACGTCTGACTCCTCCCCAACGTCAAAAGACCAGGAAAGAGAAACGTTTTGAATCTGCTCAGGAATCAAGGCAGCCAGGATAGTGCAGCTAAAGACACTCAGCAAGGAGGACTCGAGAGCTGCTGCAGGAAGTGGCAAGGATGGTGGGATGAGTGTGTGTGATGTGACAGGGAGGATTTTGAGGAGGACTCATGCCAATGTGTCTTTTACTGCAAGAAAGTGAAGCACTCACCATGCTTGTTGATCGTAATTCATAAAAGTATAAAAGGTCCTCTACATATTATATATTTCAGTATTACCACACAGCACTAAGTGTATCAGTTCTGCTTCCCCTTCTGCCAGGAACACTTCAGAGCACTCACTCATTCTTCTCTCCCCTCCCCCCTCCCTCCCTTTCTAGAAGCTACCCACAGTGCCACAAAGCCCACTCTGACCACATCCTCCTGCACATGTGCACACATTACCCAGGGGATCTCACAGAAGCACGAGCACCACCCATTCTTCTGCTTAAAGCTGCCGTGCTCCAGTCCCCAGGATGCTGCTGCTGAGCCCAGGCAGCTGAGTCCTTCAAAATCCCCTTCACTATGACCCGGTGCCTCTTGTTTGTGGGCACTCAGCTCTCTTGGCATAAGTCCTGTCTGCAGACCCCAGCCTGCTCAGAGGTGCGTGCACCTCCAGGGTGGGCTGGGCTCTGGCAAGGAGGAAAGAGTCTGGCCCCAGGTCCAACCCGGGTTCCCTCCCAGAGGCTGGGGACATCCTAGAAAAAAGAGAAGCTGGATGTGGGGACGCATGCCTGTAGTCCCAGCACTCTGGGAGGCCAAGTCAAGAGGATCTCAAGTTTGAGCCCAGCTTGGGTGAGTTAGAGACTTACATAGACCCTGCCTCCAAATTAAAAATAAAAAAGAGTATTGGGATATAGCCCAGTGCCAATCTCCACTATCAACCACACACACACACACACACACACACACACACACACACACACACACACACACAAAGCTCTAATGGCCCAGGTGCCCTTTCACACCCTGGGTCAGCCCCCAGGGAGCTCAGGGTTAGCTGGGGTAGGGGGCCTGGCCAACCCACTCTGCTTGGCCCAAGGTCACTTTGAAGGAGCTTGAGGAGGAGAGTGGGGCTTCCTGACTTCTGGTTCCAGCCCCAGCGAAGGCCCCACCCAGTGCCAATCACAGTCACGGTGACTCCTTAGGTAAACCCTGCCTTGACTCTTTAAGCAAACAGGGCTGTAGTATAAAGACAGCGCCACCAGGTTCCCAGCCTGACTCCTGTCTCCTCTGCAGCCCAGAGGCCAAGCCACCATGGAGCACAAGGTGACTTTCATCCTGGCCATGGTCCTCATGCTGGTCCTCAGTGCACTGGTTGAGGGCCAGACAGGTAAGGCAGCCTCGTGTGGTGGCCGGTGCCGGTAGCCTCTTCCCTGGGCAGTCCCATCTTTCAGCACTGACCCTGGATGCCATGCTGCCATTAGTGTCACATTGTGATAGGACTTTGGGGTCTGGGCCATAGAAGTAGCATTTCCTGTCAGGTGTGTCTGTGCACACCTGTAATCCCAGCACTTGGGAACCTGAGGCAGAGGGATCTCTGCAAGTTGGAGGCCTGCCTGGGCTACATGGTGAATTCAAGTCCAGCTTAAACTGCATAATGAGAGCCATAGTCTCGAGTGTTGGGTTTACAGGTATGGCCTGGCATGCTGGTGGGCAAAGCATTCTGATACAGATATTTTTGTACATTTTTGTTATTATACCTCTTTGAGTGAACAAAGAAAGAGGAGGAAAAGGAGTTGGTGGGGTCTGTGAAGAGCACCGCCCGAGCCACGAAGGTCCAGTCCCTGTCACTGCAGATTGGAGGCTTGAGTTTTCAGGGGGAAGATTGCAGCAAAGGCTCACCAACGTCCCCAGTCCAGGGGTTCCCACAGAGGGGACAGGAAGAATCAAGATTCTGCTCACCTGGAAATCTCCCAAGTTCCCCACTGACTTGGAGCCAGTGGGGTCAGGAGAATGGAACAGCAGGAAGGGTGACAGCAGGCCACACTTTGGAAGTGGAACATGTTGGGACAAAGGTTCTCCAGACTGGTTTAGGGTTCCTGGGGCTGGGGATCCTGTGACAGAGACATCTGGGTTTTTTTAGTCATACACCCAACACTTAAGCCTGGCTTCTGTGTGTCGCAGGATGGTTTATGTCCTCCCAGCACCTCAAGGGCCTGGGATGGACATGGGGACAGTGATGGCGAGGTTCGTGCTGTGTCCCTCAGTGGCCCCAGCAAGATCCTAGTGGGTTTTAAGATGCAGCATCACAGTCAGGCACTTGTTCGTGGGCCCCCAACAGTGGCATGTACCCACTACCTGCTCCCTTTAGTACCACGTCATCACAGCCTGGCCAGTGGCCAGCGGCTCCTTCTGCTCCCAGCGTGAAATTGCCCTGCACAGTCCTCTGGGTGGGCCACTCCTCCCCCAAGCTCCCAGCCCTCCATAGCTTCACATCCCTCCATAGCCTCCTCTCAGAGCGCTCCCTATGCCCCAAGTGTCCGGGCCTTCTCCTGAAGGAAGCCTCGTCAGCTCCGTCCTTCCATCCTGCCCTGGGTCCTCCAGCGAGCCCCACTATCCCCGGCACACATGGAGCTTTGCATGTGCTGCCTTGGATCTTAGACGCAGCCTACTAGTGACAGAACCTCTGTTTGGATGTCCCAGTCCATGTTACCAGCCTGAACACCAAAGAACCATACTCTATAGATATTTATTTCACGGGTGGACGCAGTTTAGTAGCCACCTGTGGGCAGTGTGGGTGGCCCTGTCTCAGGCACTGCAGCTTCCTGCCCACTTTCCCCAATTCCTGCCTGCCCTGCCAGAGACCTGCGATGTACAGGCCAAGGCGCGCAAGAACTGCGGCTTCAGCGGCATCACGCGGAAGGAATGTGAGGACAGAGGCTGCTGCTTCAATAACAAAGTCCGTGGCGTCCCCTGGTGCTTCCACAAGCAAGTTGTGGAAGCTGCTGAGGAAGAAGGTACAGCGGCCCGGAACCCGAGGCGGGGGTGGGGATGCAAGGGCGACCCTAGCAGCGTGGAGACCGCCGCTTACGCTTGCTAGAGCCCTTCTGCTGAGTAAACGCCACAGCTGTTTTTAAGTGAGAAGAGCTCACCCGTGCCTCTCTTCTGACTCCCACAGAGGAAGACTGTCCCTTCTAGCAGCTACTCCTGCGGGGAACCACTGGCCTCCTGACCTGGCACCGCCGTGCGCGTGGTGGCCCAGAGCCCGGCCCTCTGCCAGGAGCCGAAGCGCTTCCCTCCTGCAGCCCGGTCAGGTCACTCAATGGAGATTGACACCCTGGTTTTCATACTCCAAATTGCCTTAGAATTAAAAGAGAGGAGTGTTTACTCGTGCTTCTTGTCCTTTCACAAGGCACGCGTGCATGTGCACCTCTGGTCCTTATCCTTGGCCCCACTGTCACTGTGGCCATCACTGCTCCAAGAGGTGGGCGTGACCACTGGCAGGTGGGGTCTGCTGCATGCCTGTGGCTGGCCTGGTCACGCCAACTGCTCCTGTTGGTGCCCCAGGCTCCCAGCCCCACAGTTGGCCACACAGCACTCACTGAGGTGGCCCCAAGCCCAGCACTCACCTTGGACTCCTTTACTTCCCCACATGGCAGCCGACTCAGGGGAGCTGGGCTTGTGCCCAAAGGGTCAGTAGTGACCATGCAGAGGGCAGTGATGTCTGGCATCTTGGGGACACTTCCCTACCCCCAGATCTGAACAGGAAGAGAGGAACACAGAAGCCAAAGTCACCCTGTCACCTCATACTGACACAGGACCAGATGCAACTGCCAGCTCCACCCCAGCTATGTGTGGCCCCAGGAATGAGTGCCCAAGGGTGGGGGCCTGAGTGCCCTGGTGGAGAGCAGGGAAGGACGTCCCCTGGCTCAGTTGCCCCTATTCCTGGGAGCTCAGCCAAAGCCAAGCAGGCTGAAGACCCTGGATTCCCAGAGCTGACCCCAATGCCCCTGGCTGGCCACAACCTGCACCATTGGTCTTGGGGGTGCTGAGACACTGAGACATCACTTCCCAAGTCCTTGGCCTCCAGGGTAAGGGGTCAGGAACAGGGAGGACCTGTCCTCTGCACACCTATAAGGACTGGTTCAGGACTCCCAAAGTCCTTTGCAGGACATGGCATCATATTGCCTAGCGCTATGCACACCCCATCTGAGTGGCTTACGGTGCCTGGCACAGTGTGAATGCAAATAGTTGTCATCCTATGTCTTCTTAGGGAATAAGAACAAGAGAAAATGCCTCTGCCCAGGTTTGGCACACTTCTCTAATCCCTGCATTCAGTAGACAGAAGCAGGAGGATCCCTCCAGTTTGAGGCCAGCCTGGGCTGCATAACGAGTTCAAGGCCAGCCTGAAGTACATAGTGATATTTGGTTTCAAAAACCAGAAAAATGGTCTGAGGATGCGGCTTGGTGCTGGGGAGTTTGTCTATCATGCAGATGGCCCATATTTGATCCCTAGCACCGCCCCCACACACACAGTTGGAAGAGCTGGTGCACGCCTGCAGTTCCAGCACTGTGGGAGGCTGAGTCAGCAGGGTGGTAAATTCAAGCCCAGTTTAGGCTGCTTAGTGACTTAGCAAAATGCTGTCTCAAAATACAAATAAATAAATCGTGTCTGGTGACCTCAGGATGAAGGCCCCGCATTCCATCCCCAGCAAGGAAGAGAACATCATATAGTTCTTGCATCTCCAGTGTAGGTACAAAGTCCTGCAGGTGGCATGGGTGCTGGTTGACTGCCTGTGTGAACAGGGACAGTGACAGCGAGTGTGCTGCCACTCATGAGCTGTGGCAGAGATGCGCAGCGAGGGGCAGCCTGTCCCGTGAACCTGGAAAGCCTGAGCTCCCCTTTGTCTGTCCATAGAACATGTGATCTGAACAGCCTGACAGAAGCCACACCTAGGCCTTTCCGAAGCTCAGCCTGGGGTCATCGCGGGCTTGCTGCTGCCCTCTGGTCCCGGGGCGAGGACTGCACCAGATTCGCACCTGACCTTCCCACTCCTCCCAGGGTGTGGTGACAGCATGGCTGAGGGTCACCAGTCATGGCCTTGGGTGTGGCCCACCCATACTTCGGGCCTGGCCCAGGGTCTTCTGGAGTTTCTGGTGTCCTGTGCCCTCTCCCACCATTCTCAGAGCACGGAGATGGGCTTCCCCTGATGTTGCACAGTGGCCCAGCTCCCGGGCACCACCCGCCTGCTCCTGCCGTCTTTCATACCCAGTATTTTCTCCATAAAGAACAGGGAGAGAATTCACTTTCTCCCCTCTTGCAGCCAGAGGTGGCCATGGGACTATAGCAGTGAGACACAGAAGCAAGGGTTTGGGGAAGCCTTTTCTTCCTGATAGGAGGTTCCCTGGCCAGGCCTTGCAGGCAGGCTTTGGATGTCATGGTGCATAGGTGCCTTCTGGTGCTTCAGCAGCCATTCTGTGACACTGAGACCAAAGCCTAGAGCTAGAACCGAGGCATTCTGGGGCTTCTGATTTGACTCCTGTCTCTAGACACTGTGCTAAGTAAATCAAATGTCCCCTTGGGTGATCTGTTGCTTGCTAAGTTTCCTGCGACTTGACTGCACTTCCCTGGAACTGAAGGGTGTTGTTAGCATCAAGAACTTCGGCCACCCAGAGTCTGATTTTGGTCAGCCAGAACTATGTGATTTTAATGATTTCCAAGGAGCCAGGGCCCCCTGCTGGGAAGCCAGCAGAGGAAGCAGCAACTCGTGGGCAGGTACCAGGCCAGGAGAAGGGAGACACTGCCACCCTTCGTTTTCCTTGGGTTCCTGCAGGTGGAGGAGCAGATGGGTCCAGGATAGTGTCCTCACCTGCTGCACGTCCCTCAGGTTCCCTGGAGACTGGAAGGCACTTCTGCTGTCCTGCACCCCTGGTCACACTCCCAGATGTGAGCTCAGTTCCACCAGCGGGATCCAGGGCTCTTAGGCACAAGGGTGAGAAGGGTCACAGTCACCCATGGGAGCCACCCTGCCTCAGCCGGGGCCCCCACAGCCCTGTCCTCCCCTCTAGTAGCCCAGTGTCCCCGGGGACAGTGTTTTTGAACCACTCAGCCTTCCAGGCAGTGGTGGCAGGGCAGCATGTCTCCGGCACTCCACGGCTGTGAATTCTGGAAGAGGAGACCAGGAGGGAGGCGGCACTCACAGGTTTTAGGGCACTGGCCCTTGGTGGTATGGAAACCAGGCATGCCATGGTGACAAAGGCCACCAGGAGCAAGCACAGCCCTGTTGAGAAGCTGGCGCACAGGCTCACCCCAAGGGCTCAAGGGCTCTCAAAGGGCCGAGTCCCTCCTGGGCCCTGGGGAAGACACTGAGTGAAGCTGGACATGTGGGCCCAGGACTCCTGATGTTCTAAAACTTTGGGGTGTGGTGGGGTGGAGACCACACTGGGACGCTTGCCTCTGCATGGGCCACTTAGCAGTGGGCAACCTGGCATGTCCGTGTCTTCCTCAGCCATAGAACAAATCTGCCCAGGTGAGTGCCAGCTCACATTGTCCCTGACTGACAGACAATGCCAGACACTGTCCCCTGCTGACTGTGGCATCCTGCGTATTGTGCTCCTCCCACCAACTCAGAGAACCTTCTACAATATTCCATGTTCCTAAAGCTGAACCTTCTAGAACATGCACATCCCCGAAGCTCTTCAGATAAAAGGTCAGGGAGCCTCTCATAGAGAGAGATACACTTTAGGGGGATCTAAGGCTGTGTGAGTGTTGTCCCCCTCAACCCCAACATGAAGTCAGGATATAGGTCAGGCAGCAAGATTCCTCACAGGGCTGAGGAACAGGGGTGGTGGTGATGGAGTCCTGGGATCCTATAGCCACAAGGTCCAAACAACCTCACATCAAAAATAATGAATGTCTCAACACTGAGTGTGCACAGTGTCTGCTTGTATTTATTCTCTAAATAATGCAGTAACAAGTGCATTCCCAGTACTGGCCTCTGTTAGGGGTGACACAGAGGTGACTTAGACTACATGGGAGGCTATGTGAGCATCCTACGCCATTGTCGGCAGAGCCTCCAGCCTCTGTAGCTTTTGATGTTGTCCTCGCCTTCATCTTGCTTGGTGTGTTGATTTATTACAGCTCCAGAAACTTGTAGCCATAGACACTGATCGTCTCAGAGTCAGGATAGCTGGAGATCTGAGACTCTGGTACCAGCCCTGTCGGTGGTCTGAGGCCCCTGGCACACAGTCCACTTGCTGTCTCTGTACAAGGGCTCCCTCCTGTGCGTCTGGGGTCCACATGTCCAATTCTGACACAGATGGCAAGGAAAAAAACAGTCTTGTGAAACTGAGGAGGTATGAGGGGGCAGACTATGGACAGGTGCATGGAAGTGCTAGGATAGATGACATTCCTAGGACTGGCCACTTTTGGACACCGTGGGAGTTGCTGACCTGTAAGATGAGAAAGGAGGGACACAGTGGGAGTGTCAAGTAGGACAGGACAGGAAGCTGGGGTCCTGATTAACAGGTCCTGGCCTCGGGGCCAGGCTCTGTCATCTCCACAGTAGCCACATGCTGGGAACCTCATCAGCTCCAGAGTATGGTAGAAATGGAGGCCCCTGAGAATTGTACCCATCAAGGGGACATGTCACCCCCAAGTCCTGTCCATCTCAGTGCTCTGGTGGAAATCTTCACTTTGGGCCCTTCACTCTGTCCTCTGGTGATAGGACACTCTGGTCCTATCACCCAAGCAAGTCTTCCCCCACAGTTGCGTCCTTGTCCCCTCCCTCTGCCCGGGCTGTGGGTGAAATCAATGTACTGTGGGGCTTCATGGCTGGATGTGGTCCCTGTGTCTTTCTTCTCTGTAGTTGGGCATGAACTTGGAGGCTCTGTGTCTTCCAGGTAACTTTTCAGGCAACAACAGGGTTTTGTTCACAGACTGTTGAATTAAAGGTCAAATCAGGAACTGATTCTTCATGCCAAGTTTGGCTTCAGGTCCTATTTGTGGGGTTACTAGCTGTATCGTAAAGAGATAGCACGAACTTAAGAGAACTTCCTCTTCTTTCTTTGTAAGCAGGAGAGGGTTGACGTGTTGAAATGTTTAGTGCTGGTGAGGCTGGCAGGAAACATCAGCCCTGGAGAAAGACATTGAGCCAGCCAGTTCCAGAGCTTGGGGCATGCTGGGAGGTGCTGAGAGCCATCGGGAAGGAATGACTGGAGTTGAGATCCAAGAAGGTTACAGAGCGTGACACAGAACATACAGGACTGCCCAGGGTATTTCTTCATCATTCTTGGGTCTTTATAAACTCTGAGTTAGACCCTTTGGGGGGGTGGAGCAGGGATGCCTCAGG